TATATATATATATATATTATGATGGCTGCCGGTTGGCTTGGGTTAGGCGGTGCCCATTGGAGGATCAGTTATGTTCGATTTCTAGAGACTTCAGTCACTCACTATCACTATCTATAGAAAGACCAACTCCCCGAACCGATCAACCAGGGCCAGTGCACGGCCTTGAAAACAATGTCCTATTTATTGAAGGTCATCGTCAGTTTTGAAGGGTTTCGACGGTTTTGCCCCTCCAGCGGAGGACAATCCTGCTACTCACAAAACGAAACAGAACAGAGATGATGAATAGGCACCACCTAAGAACCCACTTTTACCATCATCAGGTAGCAGAAATTTTTTCTCTATGAAATTTAAGTTACTATCATGTACTATAAATAACCAAGCCATTGATCTAGCATAATCTCTATTATAACAGTTATAATAACAAAAGTTCTGGGCTAATAATCGACCAAGAAAGAAATCCACTTGCACCCAGTTTCAAGGCAGTAAACTTTTCAAGGGTGCTTAACCCGGCCGTTTTGCACAGCAGGTTGTGGGTGAAGGGAGATCGGGATGCCGTGGGATAGGCTACTAGCGGAATGAAATTAAAATCTACACCCTACTTGCATGCTCATTTGCACAGACTTTTTTTTACCGGCATCTGTGGCGTAGAGGATAGGTGCTTTGCTGTCGCACACACTGGATTTTTTAACCCCAGTGGGGAGAAAATTTTATCGAATAGGCTATCTTGGTCTATCTGTTGAGATGTTGTATCCCTCTCAACCCGAGTTAGCCTTGACAGGCAGGGTCAAAAGCATGGCTTCTAAAACTAAAAGATTGTGTTGATGGGGGTATAAAAACACACCTCTTTTATTATTTTTTTCGTATAATTTTTGGGGGAGTGTGCATGTGTACTCTTATGAGCCTGTCATTCGCTACTGGGATGGTTTTGATATTTAGTATATTATAATATATGTAACAATGGCGTGGTCCTTTCACATAGTTGCAGCACCCGTTAAACAGCTCACCCATTCCTGGTCATGTTTCCCTTTACCATGACTTTCACCATGTGAAGTGTTGCAAATGATGTTATTTCAGAGTTTCAAACAGCAAACAAATGTAACATTGCTTTACCTACCCCAAAACAACACAGACCACTTAGACATGCACACACACAATTAACTTTTACAGCACAGGATCTCTCTCTCTCTCTCTCTCTCTCTCTCTCTCTCTCTCTCTCTCTCTGTCTCTCTCTATGCCTCTTTCTCTCTCTCCATTTCTTTCTCTCTCGCTCTCCATCACTCTCTCTCTCTCTCTCTCTCTCTCTCTCTCTCTCTCTGTCTGTCTCTCTCTATGTCTCTTTCTCTCTCTCCATTTCTTTCTCTCTCGCTCTCCATCTCTCTCTCTCTCTCTCTCTCTCTCTCTCTCTCTCTCTCTCTCTCTCTCT